ATGTGAGAGCTCCACTCGGACATCTCCATCTCCACTCTACTCATCTCTGCTGCTCTACAGGTCTACATCTCTACAGGTCTACAGGTCTACATCTCTACAGGTCTACAGGTCTACAGGTCTACAGCTCTACAGGTCTACAGCTCTACAGGTCTACAGGTCTACAGGTCTACATCTCTACAGGTCTACATCTCTACAGGTCTACAGGTCTACATCTCTACAGGTCTACAGGTCTACATCTCTACAGGTCTACAGGTCTACAGGTCTACAGCTCTACAGGTCTACAGGTCTACAGCTCTACAGGTCTACAGGTCTACATCTCTACAGGTCTACAGGTCTACAGGTCTACATCTCTACAGGTCTACAGTTCTACAGGTCTACAGGTCTACAGGTCTACAGTTATACAGGTCTACAGGTCTACAGGTCTAAGGGTCTACAGGTCTACAGGTCTAAGGGTCTACAGGTCTACAGGTCTACAGTTATACAGGTCTAAGGGTCTACAGGTCTACAGTTATACAGGTCTACAGGTCTACAGCTCTACAGTTATACAGGTCTACAGGTCTACAGGTCTACAGTTATACAGGTCTACAGGTCTAAGGGTCTACAGGTCTACAGGTCTAAGGGTCTACAGGTCTACAGGTCTACAGTTATACAGGTCTAAGGGTCTACAGGTCTACAGTTATACAGGTCTACAGGTCTACAGTTATACAGGTCTACAGGTCTACAGGTCTACAGGTCTAAGGGTCTACAGGTCTACAGGTCTAAGGGTCTACAGGTCTACAGGTCTACAGGTCTACAGTTATACAGGTCTACAGGTCTACAGGTCTACATCTCTACAGATCTACAGGTCTACAGGTCTACAGCTCTACAGGTCTACAGCTCTACAGGTCTACAGGTCTAAGGGTCTACAGGTCTACAGGTCTACATCTCTACAGGTCTATATCTCTACAGGTCTACAGGTCTACAGGTCTATATCTCTACAGGTCTACAGGTCTACAGGTCTACATCTCTACAGGTCTATATCTCTACAGGTCTACAGGTCTACATCTCTACAGGTCTACAGGTCTACAGGTCTACAGGTCTACAACTCTACAGCTCTACAGGTCTACAGGTCTAAGGGTCTACAGGTCTACAGGTCTACAGCTCTACAGGTCTACAGTTCTACAGCTCTACAGCTCTACAGGTCTACAAGTCTACAGCTCTACAGGTCTACAGGTCTAAGGGTCTACAGGTCTACTGGAGCTCTTCCTGTGGGCCTGCTTGGTTCTCAGTGGCGAGGGGAGTAACAGTGAGCGGGGGGCGGGGCTGTGTGGACTCTTTAATTGAGGAGAATCGTGTCGTGAGCGGCGGAGGACGATCTTCAGAGGCCAATTAAAGTGAAACACAAAGCAGCGTCCAATCTGCTCAGGTTGGTGTCGGGGTGAAGTTCGCACTCATCGGCCGAGTCTCGGAGGAATCTGAGATCAGACTCATTTAAATTCTCCGCACACTTTCCCAGATCCAGAACCACCTTTATTTACTCCCAGCATCCTCTCTGCTGCTCTCCTTACGGCTCTGAACCCTGAGAAAGAGAAAATCTCGGTTTTTAAAGACTCGGTTTCTCAGACAGACCTGAGATCAGACCTTCAGACTTTAACTGACCCTCAGACTGAGGAGAGTCTGACCTCAGATCAGTCAGAGCTCAAACACTCAACCTCTTAGAAAGAAGATCTGACATCTGACTCTGTTCACAACCAGAGAACCAGCAGCAACCTGTTTCCATGACAACGGATATAAACACAAACAAAAGCTCGCACTGCTTCCTTTCTCGTCAATGTTGGCCGAAAACATCAAACTTCATCAAACTCTGAACCGACGAGTCGCATCCAGTGTTACAGGAACTGGACTCTGTACCGGATCCTGAAACCACCTCAGAGCAGCGTGAAACACCCACCTCCCAATCACCGCCCTGATGGTTAATAATGCCCGCCTCCCACACATCAACATGGCGGGGATGCTTAGAGCCCGTCAGAACCGTGGTCAGAACCGTGGTCAGCTCCCTGCTGCAGTGTCAGGATCAGCAGTTTGGAGCACCAATCACACACCAGCCTGAGACCGAGACTGGATTCACCTTCGGATGTGAGCGACGTTTTTACCGTACCGTTTAAAAACAGTAAATTACTGTTTCCTCTGACCGTGACCGCCTCAGAAAAACATGGCGACCAAAACTGACGTCCAACTGACGGCTGATACCGACCCGATAAACGTTTGTGTTTCAAACTGTTTTAATTTGTAGTTTTTAAAAACCTGCTGAAGAGAAAGTATCGGCTCAAATCTGACGTCATGATTTTCAGCTTTTTACACGATTTCTTAAAAGAAGGAAAACCTTCGACTCTTTTTCTACGTGAAACGGCGGGATACTGAGAGACCAGATGTTTACGGCGAGAGACAGACTGATGTGTGGGCATAAATAAAGGCGGAGCAAAGGCGGGTTAGATAGAAGCTGATATGGGTGGAGTTAGGATCAGCTGATGAATTGTGGGTGGAGCTTGACGTTTGTATCCTGCCTAAACTAACACTTTTGTTTCCATTCTAAAACGGTCTTTGTGTGTGTGGTTCCTGCTGCAGACTGCCTCCTGTGGACACTCTGGGAACTGCAGATTTTATCATCCATTTCATTTCTGTTCACTTTCATCTAACTAATCTAAACAAATCTAAATAATAATAATAACAATAACAATAATAATAATAATAATAATATTAATAATAATAATCTAAACATCTAAAAAATCTGCTGACTTGCAGTTTAAGTCAGTTTTGTTTTTGTGACAAACGAATCAGTCGTTTTTCGCAGCATCTTAACAAACCATCTGAAACTCCTGATGAACGCTGTGATCAGAGGGAGGAGAGATGAGTGTGTGTGTGTGTGTGTGTGTGTGTGTGTGTGTATGTGTGTGCTCTGAGGAGCTGCAGTCAGAGCAGAGAGAGGAGATGGTTAATTTATAAGGAAACCTGACGGCCCAGTGATGGTTCGAGAGTCTGAGAGATCTCCCTCTCTCTCCCTCTCTCTCTCTCTCTCTGTCTCTTCCTCTCTCTCTCTCTCTTTCTGTCTCTTCCTCTCTCTCTCTCTCTCTCTCTCTGATGGTATTTTCACCCTCGCTCAGCCCTGAAACACCCCCCCCCCCCCTCCCCCCAGGTGGCGTTGTGTGATGGAACGCTCAGAGGAAGAGGAACAGCCTGTCCCGACAAAATAAAAGTCTGTATTTTGGTTTACGCTCTTATTTCGTATTTAACCTGCAGCTTTTCTTTCTGGAGGATCAAACGACCAATCCTGTCTTCTCATGAGAGCGGCCCCACTCACTCACCCTCCTCCTCTTTCTCCTCCTCCTGTCTCCCCCCTCCATCTCCCTCTCTCTCCCCTCTCTCTCTGTCACCCCTCCTTCTCTCTCTCCCTCATTGGTGATGCAGCGAGCGTAGCCGCAGCCGTAGACCTCAGAGTGGAAACACCCAGCAGACAAGAAAAATGACGGCCGGTGCAATCTCATTTTCTGAGGGGCTGCAAGTCAGGCAGGAAACGGCGATTATTCCATCGCCACTGTCGGTATTAAGTTATTTCCTTCTCTAAATACGCGAATGTTCATGAATATCTATTGAGTTCCAGGTAAGAGCGCCGCCGCTGCGGGTTTTTGTCGCCACACACTCCGATGATTGCGGCCCTATATTCTGCTCGCTGCTGCCTCACTCTGAGATTGAAGTGAAAGACAATGGTCGAGGAAATTGGCTAATAAATCCAGAGAAGGCGAAGGGCGGTGTGAGCGATGCCGCCGCCGCCGGCGCACGCCGCTTCTTTTTAAAGAGAATAAAAACCGCCAACGCTCCTCAGACCCAGAAGGGCCACGAGGAAAACCCGGAGGGTCAAGGGTTAAATTTACCTTCGAGACCAAAACAGCTGACTGCGAAAGACCGACTCTGTATGAACACATGAACATATGAACACATGAACACAGTCAAAGAAGGCCCACCTCTGTATGAACACATGAACACATGAACACATGAACACAGTCAAAGAAGGCCCACCTCTATATGAACACATGAACATATGAACACATGAACAGTCAGAGGGACTCACCTCCACATGAACACATGAACACAGTCAAAGAAGGCCCACCTCTGTATGAACACATGAACATATGAACACATGAACACAGTCAAAGAAGGCCCACCTCTGTATGAACACATGAACACATGAACACATGAACACAGTCAAAGAAGGCCCACCTCTATATGAACACATGAACATATGAACACATGAACAGTCAGAGGGACTCACCTCCACATGAACACATGAACACAGTCAAAGAAGGCCCACCTCTATATGAACACATAAACGTATGAACACATGAACACAGTCAAAAAGGGCCCACCTCTGTATGAACACATGAACATATGAACACATGAACACAGTCAAAGAAGGCCCACCTCTGTATGAACACATGAACATATGAACACATGAACACAGTCAAAGAGGGCCCACCTCTGTATGAACACATGAACATATGAACGCATGAACACAGTCAGAGGGACTCACCTCCATATGAACACATGAACATATGAACACATGAACACAGTCAAAGAGGGCCCACCTCTGTATGAACATATGAACACATGAACACAGTCAGAGGGACTCACCTCTGTATGAACACCTGCACATATGAACACATGAACACAGTCAGAGGGACTCACCTCTGTATGAACACATGAACACATGAACACAGTCAAAGAAGGCCCACCTCCATATGAACACATAAACGTATGAACACATGAACACAGTCAAAAAGGGCCCACCTCTGTATGAACACATGAACACAGTCAAAGGGACTCACCTCCATATGAACACATGACCATATGAACACATGAACACAGTCAGAGGGACTCACCTCAAATGATCACATGAACTCAGTCAGCAGGACTTATCTCTATATGAACACATGAACACATTCAGGAGAACACACCTCTTTATGAACACATTAACAATGTGTTACCTGCCTCTCCTTCTACACCTGAAATGTTCGACTCCGCCCATCAATCAGAGCTGAATTACTAATGAGCTGCTGTAGAACAAAAGTTCTTAAAAATAACAACTTCATTTTTAAAAATAACAACTTCATCATCGGGGGGGCAGGAAAGTGAAAAGATGAAGATCAGCGGAGAAGGATGACCTGCAGCCAAAATCTGAATGTGTGTGTGCGTGTGTGTGTGTGTGTGTGTGTGTGTGTGTGTGTGTGGTAGGGTAGAAAAAGTGGGGGGTAAAGGGTGGGGGGGGTGGGGGGGTGGAGCTCTGTGTCCAGTTGGAGGCGGTCTGCTGTGGAGGGGGGCGAGGGGCTGAATTGATTGAAGGAGCTGGACCATAAATGAAAGTATTGATCTGAGGGTCAGAGTCTCAGGATGAGGTCTGGAAATAAATTGAAATAAACATATCAATACATCAAGTCTATAACACACACACACACACACACACACACACACACACACACACACACACACACACGTATATTATAATGCTAGTTTGGGTTAATAGAAGCTGATTTATGTCCATGCAGAGACTGTCATGGATTAAATACGAGGATTACTGACTTTAATAAAGAGATGATTTAATCTGAGATAATCTGTCAGATTACACTTCTACACATGAGCTGAAAACTCTGGACTTACTGTGATTGGCCATCAGAGATCTGCTCTAAATCAACAGACTTATGAACACATGAATGGAGCAGGTTCATGACTTTAGTCCAACATCGGAGCTGAAACTTAGACCTCAGGATCCAAAGCAGAGTGATGGCGCTCGCTCTCAAATCAGCCTCATCTGCATAATAAAGAATAAAGAGAGCGTCAGAAAGACGGCGCTCTGGAGAGGTGAGAGCTCGTCCAATTACAGGTCAGAGGAAGACACTTTCACAGGAAGAGCAGAAACGACTCGGCGAGGAGACCAACAGACTCTGAGTAAAGACACGGCGGCCAATTAAGAGAAAGGTCAGAGCGTGAAGAGAGGAAGAGACGTCTCCCTCCAACAGTCCTCCACCGGGTCTGCAGCAGCGGCGGCGGCGGTTCTTTAACCTCAGGAGCAGCTTTCACAGATGGTTATTCGGCTGTAGGAGAGTTTTCATCCTCTCACTCCTTAAACTCTTATTTATTTAAATGAGACTTGGTGAGGAGGACCGACCCGGCTGATCCTCAGAAGAACCAAGAATCAGAACCACCAACCTATCCTGCCGTTATACTTCCTGAAGGCTTTTCAAAACAAAAGCTTTTATTCTACGGAGAGACCGCCTCTTTTTTTCACATCATGCTTTTATTTTGAAGTCGTGTCCATGACTCCAGGTTGGATTTGAACGCCAGAGGTCATGTGACTTAAGTCTCCAGAGTCACTCACACCTCGCCCTGCAGAGCAGCTGGTCGGGCACACGGGCAGGGGAGCGTGGCGTGAGGAATGACAAGTGTAATGGGAAGTGGCGTGACAATTAGAGAGCTTATGAGCTCCTGGAGGTGGGCGAGGAGCTGAAGGGCAGCCAGGATCTCTGCTAGACCGAAATAAACTGGCATCAAACCCGCCAGAAACACTGACAACATCACTGACTGAACATCTTCTGGAGACAAAGAAGGAAATTATGATGATAAGGGTTTCATCAGCATCACGAGCAAAAACTGGCATCAAACCCACCGAGGGGGGGAAGAAGATGTGAAACGGACTTCCTGCAGTTTCAGAGGATTTAGAAGATGAAGCAGAAGTTAAAGTTTGATTTAATGAGGATCAAATAAAAACTGTAAACAGTAAACAGATCTGTTTGATGCAGTAAGTCTCCAAAAACAGTCTGAGTATCAAGATTGAACCTGAAACTAACCCTAGCCCAACTTAACTGAACCCTAACCTAACCCTAACCCTAACACTAACCCAACCCTAATCCTAACCTGAACCTAACCCTAACCGAACTTAACCTAACCCTAACCCTAACCCAACTTAACCGAACCTGACTTAACCTAACCCTAACCCGACATAACCTAACTATAACCCAACTTAACCAAACCCTAACCCAACTTAACCAAACCCTAACCCAACTTAACCTAACTCTAACCTGACTGACTCTAACCCTGTCACTCTGGTTGCTTGTTCACTAATAAAATATCTTTGAGGAGTGTGTCTGCTGTCTGTTTACCACACTCTTACACACTTCTTTACCGTCATGTTCTGTTATGTTTCACACGCTCACGTTAAAGTCTGTAAACATTCATTACACGCCCAGATGTGGAGAAAAACCTGGACCATGTTTCAGAAGTTCTTGTAGTAAAAACAGTTTGAGGATCTACAGTCTCCAGATCAAACTAGATTTGAGCTCGTCTCTCAGCTGCTCCACTCTCCCTCAATACTGGACCCACTGTCTGACTAATAATAATAATAATAACAATAACAATAATAATAACAATAATAATAATAATAATAATAATAATAATAACAATAATAATAATAAC